TTTTTCCACATCCTTCTTGTAGTGTGGGGCCCAAAACTGGACACAGTATTCTAGATGAGCCTCACCAATGTCGAATAAAGGGGAACAATCATGTTCCTCGATCTGCTGGCAATGCCCCTACTTATACAGCCCAAAATGCCGTTAGATTAGTGCCAGAGCAGGGAGAGAGCAAGGTAAAGGAAAAAGAAAAGACAATATGAGAGCAGGATTCCTTGTCCCTCCCTGCAGCCCAGCTGCCATCCCATGCCCTCCTCCCTGACTCCCACCAAAGCCAACCCCTCCCTCCACCAAGACAAGTGTCCCAGCTGGGATCCCCAGGGCAGGGAAGCACCATGCACAACCCTCTATTCCCCGTCCCTTCGCAGCCAGACACCCACCAGGCCTGGGCAGCATGTGCACCCGCCACCCAGGTGCAGGAATCCCACCCGTGGGGTGCCTCAGACTCAGGTGGCGCCTTGCTGCTGGGGGAGGGCCATGGCCCTGGAGCATGAGGCAGCAGCGGACGGGTGCTCACATCCAGCCCCACCCCATTCCCACCCAGGAAGCCTGGTGGGGACTCCCCCTCAGGAGCAGCAGTGGAGGGGCTAGGATACACAGCAAGTCCCCCCGCAAGAGGCGGGGTCAGCTTGCCCTGTCCCCTGTCCTCCCTCCCGCCTCTCATAGGACAGCCGCGTTCGCAACGTCCCTCCCCCTCATCCCGATTGGACTGTTCGGTTCTGCCCCGCGGGCTCTGCGCCCGGCCCGAGAGGGGGCGCTGTGCGGGGAGAGAGCGGCCGCCGCTCTGTCCCGCTCCTCCCCGGACTCTATGGTGCCCCCCCCCGACACGGAAGCGCCTTGGCTGCGAGAGGCCCCGGCTCGCTCCGCGGAGGGTCCCGGCGCCCGGGCGCGGGAGGTGAGAGGCGGCGGGTCCCGGCCGGGCCCCAGGGTCCCCGTCGCGAGCGGGAAGCGCCCCCCCCCCGCCAGCGGCCCCTCCCCGCCCCCCAGCACCCGCCTCCCCCCTCTGGGCCCCCCC